GGGGGGGGGGGGGCCCGGGGCGGGGCGGGGAAATCACGAGAGGCAATCAAACCAGAAATGAGCTGCCTGGGGGGGGGGAGGGGGAGGAGCGGAATGCGGCAGCGTTCTGGAGTTGGTACAGTTAAACCCCAAGTTAAAAAAACCGAAACGACAACGGATCTTCTCCTCTGGTGGGGAGGGAAGGAAGGAACGAAAACAAATTCCGATGGCAGAAGGGGGTTAGGAGGGGTTGGCCGCGAAGGGGGAAAAACGAGGGAACGCAGAAAATTAGAAAAAAAACATACTTTGGATAGGGCCTCTCCAGGCTTACAAACATACAAACATACATACATACATACATACATACATACATACATACATGATTAGGCATATACTAGGTTAGGCACTACTGGTAAAGCACCCCCCGGCTGACAAACATACATACATACATACATGGGTTGAATGGATGCAAAAGTAAAAAATGCGATAGGAAATGCGACACCTGACTCTGGAAAAAAAAGAGCCACGCAAACAGGCCGCAGGCGCAACAACCGTATCACGCTAGGCGCGCTGCGGCGCACCTCCACCACCTCCACCTCCTGCGCGTTGCCGTGCCGCTGCCGCCGCCGCCGCCACCGCCGCTTCCGCCTCCGCCCGCGCGACCCTCCTCTTCTCATCCTCCTCCCGGCGCTTAGCCGCCTCCGCTTCCTGCTGCTGCCGCCGGAATGCGGCCACCGGCTCCGGAACCGCCCAGGAGGTCTCCTGTGTGTGGGGGGAGGGGGGAGGGGTAGAGACCGGGGGCGGGGGCGGGGTGTTTTGCCGTACACAAGGGCGCCGTCAGCGGTGTGTGATGTGCCATGAAGCCGCGCCTCCATTCACATCAACACAACGACACCGCAACGACCAACGGCGGTCGGTTGGCAATGCGGAATACCGACCATATAGACTTCTGGTCCTTGGGTTCGGGGTTTCGGGTGTTCTTCTCTGGGCCAAGTTTCCCCCTCTCCCCCTCCCCCTCCCCCACCATGCGCACCCCTTTCCCACGGACCTCCTTTCTAGACTCTTCTTCCTGGGAGTGATCCTTAACCCAACTTCCCTGGCAATAGCAACCCCCCTGCCAAAACCCCCAATCCCCCCCACCCCCAACAAACTCTACAACAAACCCTACCACTACTACAACTACTACAACTACTACTACAACTACAACAACTATAACAGTCAACCAATTAACCAACCGACCAATTGAGACTCCTCTTCCCTCCGCCCCTCTATCCCTCTCCCTCCCCTCCTCTACACCCCACCCCGCACCCCACCCCACCCCACCCCGCACCGCACCGCACCTCGGTTGTTTCGTTGTAGAAGTAGACCCGGCCGTCCGCGCACTCCACCTCTTGCCAATCTGTGTCGCCGACCTGGGGCCCGAGTTGGGGAGGGGGCGGGTTGGGGGCTGAAAGACGAACCACGAGCGAGTGAAGCTGATGCCAAGGAAAGAGACTGCTGCGGCGGATGTAAAAGGGGGCGGGTTGGGGGCCTGGAAGGTGACGATAACCCACACCCATCCACACCCGTTTCCG